CGCCGCGCGTCGCCGAGGGGACGCGTCGCAGGTGCCGTCGGGCGATGGAGACGTCCGCGCCGAGGGCGGGAGCCCGCGCTTCCGGGTGTGTCTGCAGCTCGGGGTGCGGGGGGACCCCGCGACGGCGGCTTGGCACGCGCGCGCGTGTGTGTCCGTGTCTGATGTGTCGCTGTCCCTGCCCGGGTTCCAGTCCCAGCTCAGCCCTTTCCGGGCTGTGTGCCGTGGGGCGGGTGACTCCCCTGGCTGTGCCTCAGTCCCCGCGCTGTGCAGTGGGGCTGGATAAGAGTACCGGCCTCCGAGGGCTGTGATGAGGATTAAAGGTAACAGTATAAAGCGCTGAGAACAACGTCTGGCACAGAGTAAACACTCAGAAGAATAAACAAATAAAATAAACGGTGATCGTGTATCTTTTGTTATGAGGCAAGTGGAGGCAAGTGTCGTGGTTGTGCAACGTCTGTGACCCTCCTCGGAGAAGCGCTGCCTGTGTGTGTTTGTTCTGCTGTGTCACGTGTGCCTGTGTATGTTTACGTATGTGATGTTTGGCTAGCTGGGAAGGAGTCTCTGTAGCCTCGGAAACTTTTTTTTTTGGTACCTGGAATTGAACTCAGGACCTTGTGCTTGCCAGGCAGGTGCTGTGCTGCTGAGCTATATCCCTGGCCAGGCTTGATTACCTTGTGTGAAATGTGTATTGTGCATTTGCAGTGTGTGTGTCTAAGCCTATTAGGTGTGTGTTGTTCTGGGTGTGCTTTTCATGTGCATGCCTGTGTATTTATGTGTAGTATGTGTGATTGGGTATATTTGTATGTAATGTGTCTGCATGGATGAGTGCCACGTATTTCTGTATTTTTGTATGAGTCGTGTAGCTTTGTATGTATGAGTTGTGTGCGTCTGTGGGCATCTACATATGTGATGAGTCTGTATTCTGGGGAGCAAAGTGTGTGTCATATGCATCTCCTCTGTGACGATCCACATGCATGTGTTGTTTCTGTGCACTCACATGTATGATGTGCCTGTCTGCACGCATGTGTCTGTGTGTCTCTGTGTTCCCGTATGTGACACGTGTCTCTGCAAGATGCGCCTGTATGCTCGTGTGCATGTATGTAACACTTGCTCTCTGGGTTTTGTCACCCACTTGCCTGTTTGTGACTGTGTGCCTCAGCGTGTCACTGTGGCACCTATCTGTGGCTTTGGGGACTGACTTTGTCTACGGTGTGTGGAGGTCTTTGTGAGGCTTTCATGTCCCTGTGCGGCCCTGTGCACCTTGCCTGTGTGTTTTCAGTGTGGCCTGTCCCTGCGTCTTTGTGTGTGATGTGTACGTGTCCCCGTCTACTGATGGCTGTCCACCTTTGTATGTGATGTGTTTGTCTTTGAGAGTCACTGCGACGTGTGTCAGCTCTGTGTGGGCTGCGTGTTCTTGACATCTGCATCTTGGCATGTAGCACACATGTCCGTGCCGCGGCATGTCACGGTGGTGTCAGGGCCAGGCACTGGGGACTCTGGGCCACCCCCTCCCACTGCAAGGGTCTGCTGGTCCTGTCTGTCCCCCCTCCCCTCTCTCCCCTCCCTCCTGGCGGCCAATGCTACCGGGAGCCAGTTGCCATGACAACACTCCATCCTCCCTCCATCCTCCCTCCTCCCACCCTTCCTCTGACAGGCTCTCTGCTCCCCCAATCCTGGTTGTCCTCGGGGGCGGGGCCCTCATTCTCGCCCCCCCATCTTACCCTCTCCCCCCCCCACCCCAGCCACCCCGGCTCCCCAGCTCCTCTCCTCTGTCCGCCTCTCCATCCCTTCATCAGTCTGTCCCTTCAAAGAGGGGGAGGGGGGTACCTGAGCCAGCAAGCAGCCCCTCCCTCCCCCGTCCTGCGTCTCCTGCCCCTCTCCTGGGCTGGGGGAGGCCAGGGTCGTGCGGGTCCCCATGGCCGGGGGCTGAGGGCCCGCCCCCCCCCTCCCCAGCCGCCACCACCTCCACCTCCCTTCCATCCTCGACAAGATGCCTGCCCCCGGCGCCCTCATCCTCCTGGCGGCCGTCTCCGCCTCCGGCTGCCTGGCGTCTCCGGCCCATCCCGGTGAGTTCGTCCGGCCATCCGTCCGTCCAGGGCCCCCACCCCCACTGCGGCCTGGCTGCTGCTGGGCCCTGTCCGCGGGGCTCCCGATCCGTCACCTGTGCGCGTCTCGGCGCTGCCGAACTGGGCCTTCCAGCCGCGGGGACGGCGCCTGTGTCGGCGGGGCCTGGGGGAGCCTGGCTGGGGGCTGGGCTGGGAGGGGGCCTGTCTGGCAACATGTGTGTTTGTGTGCACGCATGTGTGCGCGCCGGTGTGTGCAGGGAGGCAGAGAAGGCCGGGCCTCTGGGAGATCGGGGGCAGAGGGCAGTAATACTATTTCTAAGGGGCGCACAACACAGAGGCTGGCTAGCTTTGGGGGAGACACAGGGCTTGCAGAGTGCCCCTTCTCGGGGGCTTGGGCTGGGGTAAGAGGACAGGCCTGGGCTCCAGGCGTCTTGAGGAGACAGGTCTCAGCACCCCCTGATCGGCAGCGAGGGGGGCAGCACGGGGCAAGAATCTTCCCCTAGTCTGTAGCTGAGGGATCGGGGTGATGAGTCTGCCCTGGAGAGCACACTGTAAATGCTGAGGGCCCTGGGCCTATTCCTCCTTCCCTCAATCCTCATCTGAATTCTTTAACGTCTGGGGTGAAGGGATGCGGTGGGGGGGGGGTCCCAGCTTGGGCGAGGGGAAGAACCCCACCCCCAGCCCGACCACCTGGGAAGGCCGCAAACTACAACTCCCACAAGGCCCTGGGCCATCTGGCTCTCCTGCTAAGGGGCCCCTGGCTTCAGAGTATCATGGGAATTGTAGTCCAAGACTGACCAGGATGGGAGGGGCTCGGAGTGCAGAAGCCAGGTGCCTGAAGTCCAGACCCCAGCCCAGCCCTGTGCCCACAGATGGATTCGCCCTGGGCCGGGCCCCTCTGGCCCCTCCCTATGCCGTGGTCCTCATTTCCTGCTCAGGCCTGTTGGCCTTCATCTTCCTCCTCCTCACCTGTCTGTGCTGCAAAAGGGGCGATGTCGGTTTCAAGGTGAGGTGCCTGAGGCGCTAACGTGTTCCGCCCTCTCCAAAGCCAGGTGTCCAGGGAGGAGGGGCAGCAAATCAGAGAGCTCACTCTGACCTGAACTTCTGGCAGCGAGGCCTGGAGCCTTGGGATGTGGAAACTGGGGTGGCGCTGGGGCTGGGCTGGAGGATATTATGAGCCCCATGGGGCGACACCCTTAAGGGGAGGATGCCAGGGTGTCTCTCAGCCCTGTGTTCTGCTCCTCACCTCCCCGGGCCCAGGAGTTTGAGAACCCTGAAGGGGAGGACTGCTCCGGGGAGTACACGCCCCCTGCGGAGGAGACCTCCTCCTCACAGTCGCTGCCAGATGTCTACATTCTCCCGCTGGCTGAGGTCTCCCTGCCAATGCCTGCCCCGCAGCCTGCACACTCAGGTACTGCCCCATGCCCAGACCAGGGTGCCATGGTCCCGGGGGGCAGGGCAGATGGCTCTGAGCGTCTTCCCTGCAGGGACCAGGAAGCTGAGCCTGGAGAGGCAGAGGTGGGAGCCCCAGGTTCATGGAAGTAGCCCACAGAGAGGCAGACAGATATCGTCTTGGTGGAAGCCATTGCTTAATCCAAAACCAGACTTGGGGATTCTTGTGGGGCAATGGATGGTGAGATCAGCCTAGATCTCAATCTCAGAGGCAGCCAATGGGAGGCTGAAATCAAGTCATAGGAGCTGGGATGCCAAAGGGAAAGACTGATTGGATGCTGGAATGTTGTGGGCAGCCAATGAGGAGGCTGAGATCCTGTCATGGAATGTTGGAGGCAGCCAATAAAAAGAGACTGGTGCCTGCTTTGACCGGAGTTAACCACTGAGTTGGGAGGGGGCCAGGGTGATGGCAGCTGGGAGGCAAGAGAAGCTCAGGGGCCTCCCCCTTCCCCCTCCCAGACATGACCACCCCCCTGGGCCTTAGCCGTCAGCACCTCAGCTACCTGCAAGAAATTGGGAGTGGCTGGTTTGGGAAGGTGAGTGGGGCCGGGCTGGGAGGTAGGGGGTCCATACAGACCTGGCCTGTGCTCCTGTTCTGTGTCCATCCCCCACCCCTCCTCTCACCACTTCGCATCCGTCCCTCAACCCCAAGCCTCCCCTCCCAGCACCCCCATTCACCTCACCAGCACCCACCCGCCACCTCCCCCGCATCTGTCGGTCAGCGCCTCCCTCCTCACTCCATTGACCACTCCGCCTCGCCATTCGGCTCTCCACGCGTCCGTCCGTCTGTCCATCCTTCCATCGGTCCCTGCGTCCATCGGACTCTGGGCCTGTGAGTCTCTCACCCGTGTCTGGTGGGGGATGGATGAGGGTGGCGGGGTGTGAGGGAGGGGCCGGGAAGGAGAGGGGAGTCCGGGTCCCGGGGCCAGAGCTGGGGACATGGCCCTGTTTGACCCCATCTGGTGCCCCTTGGTCAGGTGATCCTGGGAGAGATCTTCTCTGACTACACCCCGGCCCAGGTGGTGGTGAAGGAGCTCCGGGCCAGCGCCGGGCCGCTGGAGCAGCGCAAGTTCATCTCGGAAGCCCAGCCATACAGGTCCAGAGGCCTCTCCGCCTCGTGGGTTCTGGGAGCGTGCAGGTTTGCCGGTCCATGCAGGGCACACCGGCGAGAGCGGAAGGGCAGCATGGACTCGAATCTTCAGTCTGCCTCTTGCAGACTGTGCGGCTTGGGTCCAGGGATTTCCCTCCCAGAGTGTTAGGTTGTCCCGTCAAACCTCAGGGTGTGCAGTGCAGCGGAGGTGGGGTGCGTGCGCCGAGGCTGAGCTAGGGCGGGTGAGCCAAGGAGGCCTGTGTGTCCCTGTGACTGGGACAGCAGGAAGGTGGGGGACGCCCTGTGTTAGGTGCATTGTGAGGTATGAGTTTCCTGTCATGGAAATGGTGTATATGCAGAGGACTCTGATCAGAACTGTTGTAAAAGTGACATAGATACTGAACTTTGTCATTCCCTTGCTCCAAAACCTCCTATGGCTCCCTGTTGCCCACAGAGAAAGTTTTGTTCTTCCTTACTGCTGAGAGGACCTCAGCCTGACCCTGTTCTCCTGCCATCGTCCCCATTGCTCCAAACACACTTGACTCCTCGCTGGCTATCTCCCACATTACAGCCTCTTTCCTTCCTTGGCCATTAGGTTTTGTTTTTTTTTTTTTGAGACAAGGTTTTGCTATGCAGTTCAGGCTGGCCTTGAACTCATTTTGTAGCCCAGGCTGGCCTCGAACTTGCAGTGATCCTCCTGCCTCAGCCTCCCAAACACTGGGATTACAGGTGTGTGCCTACACACCCGGCTATTTTTGCTTTTTCCACTTTTTAAAAAAAAAATTTTGAGACAGCATCTCCTTAAGTCACTAAATTGCCCAGGCTGGGCTTGAACTTGAAATCCTCCTGCCTCAGCTTCCCAGAGTGCTGGGGTCACAGGTGAGCACCACCACGCTACACCTTGCTTTTCACCTGTCTCTCGCTAGACCTGAGCTGGCAACCATAGCTATTTAGATTTCAGCTAAATAGAACGAAATTGAATTCACTCATATCTGAGTCACTCCTGCCACATTTTGGGGGCCTCAGCTATAAGTGCCCACGTGTTGCACAGCGCAGGTCCAGAGCATTTCTATCTTCATAGAGAACACTGCTGGGCAGCACAAGTCTACACTGGCAGCTCAGGGTCTGTCTTGTCGCCCTTACACAAGTGCCATTGACCCTCAACAGACATTTCCTCAGCGAGCCGCAGGCCTGAGATCAAATCCCAGCGTGAGCAGCCTCTGCAGCTGCATGACCTTATGCAAGTCACTTCCCCTCTCTGGGGAATGCTGGGAAGATTTGGCAATGGAAGCGGCTGGGCTTGGCCACCAGTGTGCAGTGACCCCAGGTCCTTTCCAGGTCTGTCATCCTAGATCTCCCGGCCGCAGCCATTCCTCAGGCCCAGCACATGGCAAGTCTTTATTTATTTATTTATTTTTGTCTTTTTTTTTTTTTTTTTTTTTTTTTTTTTTTTTTTTTTTTTTGAGACAGGGTTTCACTATGCAGTTCAGGCTGGCCTTGAACTCACTTTATAGCCCAGGCTGGCCTCGAACTTGCAACGATCCTCCTGCCTCAGCCTCCCAAGTGCTGGGATTACAGGTTTGCACCACCATGTCCGGTGGCAAGTGCTTTATGAACTCTTCACCCAGGTGGGCATGGGAGTCAGGTACCCTCTCCCAGGTGGAGAAGGCCAGAGGAAAACAGCAGAGCCTCTGTTCGAATAAAGAGTGACCCTTGCCTCCTGTTAGGCCTTGGCAGGAAAAGAACTTTCCACACCCCCACGAAACCGCAGGCCCTGCCTGGAGGGTAAAGTCCTTTGCCAATTTTTTTGTACCGCGAATCGAACTCATGACCTCGTGCTTGCCAGGAAGGCACTGGGCTACTGAGCTATACCCCCAGCCTCACTAGGTTTTATTAAGCAACTATTCATCTACACACTGGGGACACAGCTGGGAACAAACTGTCCCAAAACTTCATTCCAGAGAAGGATTCCATACCTAGCAGAGGAGACACACAGATATAAACACCTTCTCAGGTGTGGTGGTCCAGCACTCTGGGAGGCTGAGGCAGGAGGATTGCAAGGTGGAGCCCAACCTGAGCAACTAAGTGTTTTAGCAAGTCCCTGTCTCAAAATAAAAAATAAAATAAAATAAAATAAAAATAGGTCTGGGATGGTAACTCATTACAGAGTGCCCTGGGTCACTGTACTAGAAGAAAAGTAAGGTAAATGATTAAATTTTCCAAAGAGAAGCTGCAAGAGGGTAAGTGCCGTGGGGAAACGTGGCAGTGTGTGACAGAGACAGGGACCTCTTTGGACAGGAGCAGCAGCGGGGCGGGACTGACTCGGAGGCCTCGCTGTGTAGAGCAGTGGGAAGCATGTTCCAGGCAGGAGGAACAGCAAGTGCAAAGCTGGGAGACAGGAGACACTGGGGGAGCCCAAGCACCCCAGAAGTGCAGTGAGGACGGAGGGCGAAACTAGAGGCAAACGTGTTCAAATACGAAGGGCAGAGCCAGCCAGGCCCTCTCGCCTAGCACCAGCTCCTCTCTGAGCCCTCGGGTCCACGGAGGAGGGAAGCGGAGGCGGGGAGGGGTGCACAGACACCGGGACAGTTGGGCTCAGGATTGAGACCCACAGTGGGAGGGTGCGGGAGGGGCATCAGGCTCAGCACTGGGGGGCAGGGAAGACTTGATGAGGGAGGGGCCCTGCAGAGAGCCCAGCAAGCACAGGGCAGAAGGAGTCTGGGGCAGAGCATGGCGGTGCCAGGCTGGGGGCGGTGACATCAGGAGCTGGGCCTCTCTGCGGCACCAGGGAGCCACAGAGGGTTGTGCGCAGGTGGGTGGCAGAGGAGGGACCAACTGCAGGCCAGGACTGTGGGTCCGGGAAGGAGGGGACAGAGCAGGGTGGGGCAGGATGAAGGCTGGGGGTGGGGAGGCAGACGGAGTCCTTGAGAGGCCATGCTGGGAAGGGGTGCGCGTGGGGTGGGCAGGGCCGATCCAAGAGGGCCCACTGAGCCCACGGCGGTTGCCACTGCAGTTTGGCTCTGCTGGGTGGTGGGGTGGGGCCTTCTCCCCTCACAAGCCACCTCCCCCCAGGAGCCTGCAGCACCCCAACGTCCTCCAGTGCCTGGGCTTGTGTGTGGAGACGCTGCCCTTCCTGCTGATTATGGAGTTCTGCCAGCTGGTGAGGGCCCCGCACCCCTGCATCCCTCTCCTCAGGGACACCTCTGCGGCTTGTGCTCCCCTTTCTCCAGCGCTGGCTGCACGCGTGGCCCCTGAGCAAGCGAGGGGGTGGTGGTATCACCCCTTTGAGCAGACAGGCCCCCATCCTTGCTTCGGGGAGGTGCTGTTGCGCTGACCGGGCCTGCCTCCTTCCCAGGGAGACCTGAAGCGGTACCTCCGGGCCCAGCGGCCCCCCGAAGGCCTGTCCCCAGAACTGCCCCCGCGAGATCTGAGGACACTGCAGAGGATGGGCCTGGAGATCGCCCGGGGGCTGGCGCACCTGCACTCGCACAACTACGTGCATAGGTGAGCAGGGTCCTAGGAGCGGGAGGAGAGGAAGGCAGAGAAGGTGGGGGAAAAGGCCTTGGGAGCCAGGAGAGGGGGCGGAGCCAGGCGACGAGGGGACGGGGCCAGGCCTGGAGGGGGAGGAGTCAGGTGGGGAAGGGGAGGGATCAGGCAGAGGGGGCGGAGCTAGGAAAGGAATGGGAGCAGAAGGAAGTCTGGTCGAAGGGAAGGAGCCAGGAGATGAGGGGGAGGAGTTAGGAGAGAAGGCGGAGTCAGGTAAGGAGAGGGGGAGGAGCCAGGAGAGGAACGCGCTTTAAGGGAGGAGGAGACTCGAGAATGGGGGAGGAGTCTGTGGAAAGTGGGCGTGGCGTCCTGGGCTCACCCTCTCCCCCTGGCGCAGCGACCTGGCTCTGCGTAACTGCCTGCTGACTTCCGACCTCACGGTGCGCATCGGAGACTATGGACTGGCGCACAGCAACTACAAGGTGGGGCGGCCCTCCGCGGAGTGGGGTGAGGTGGGCGGAGGTGGGGAGGCCCTGGCCGCCTGACCCGTCCCCCGCAGGAGGATTACTACCTGACCCCCGAGCGCCTGTGGATCCCGCTGCGCTGGGCGGCGCCCGAGCTCCTGGGGGAGCTGCACGGCACCTTCGTGGTGGTGGACCAGAGCCGTGAGAGCAACATCTGGTGAGGCCGGGCCCGGGGCAGGGACGGCCGCAGGTGCCTCCTGTGCGGAAACAGGCTGGAGAGGTGTAGGGCCGGCCCCTCCGCGGGCCAGGGCTGGACTGAGGCCTCCGCCTCTCCGTTCCGTGTAGGTCTTTGGGGGTGACCCTGTGGGAACTCTTTGAGTTTGGGGCCCAGCCCTACCGTCACTTGTCAGACGAAGAGGTCCTCGCCTTTGTTGTCCGCCAGCAGCACGTCAAGCTGGCCCGACCACGGCTCAAGCTGCCCTACGCGGACTACTGGTGAGGGCCAGGCCCTGACCCCCGGCCCTTGACCTCCCCACCCCAGGACCCCGTACTTCTTTTCGTTTGTTTGTTTTGTTTTTTGTCTTTTTGAGACAGGGTCTAGCTGTGCAGTTCAGGCTGGCCCTGAGGTCCCCTTGTAGCCCAGACTGGCCTTGAACTCACAGTGGTCCTCCTGCCTCAGCCTCCCACATGCTGGGATTACAGGCGTGTGCCACCGTGCCCGGCTTCCCCCTACTTCTTTCTGTGCCACCTACAATCTATTTCACCCTTCCACGCTACCCCGAGAGTAGAGAAGGGGCATCCTCACCCTCTCTGCCAGCATCTGCTCCTTGGATTGGGGAAATCGAGGCAGGCAGTGGCAGAGCTGGAATCTGAAGTGAGGCGACACTAACGCTAAAGGACCCCTGCTGCTTCCACTGTCTGATCCCAGAACTCACAGCCATCTCCCCACCCTGTGCCTCCCTGGCCCTCTAACTCCAGTCCGCTCTCCCCTTTCTGGGCCTCTGTCCCACCTCTACATGTCTGTCTGTCTGTCTGTCTGTCTCTCTGGGTCTCTGTCCTGCTCACTCTTGCCTTGCCCCTGTCCCCCAGGTATGACATTCTGCAGTCCTGCTGGCGGCCCCCTGCCCAGCGCCCCTCGGCCTCTGATCTCCAACTGCAGCTCACCTACCTGCTCTCTGAGCGGCCCCCCAGGCCCCCGCCCCCCCCCCCCCCCCCGAGACGGCCCCTTCCCCTGGCCCTGGCCTCCCTCACACAGCGCACCACGCCCGGGGACCCTCTCCTCGCAGTTTCCCCTTCTGGATGGCTTCCCCGGGGCGGACCCCGACGATGTGCTCACGGTCACTGAGAGCAGCCGTGGCCTCAACCTCGAGTGCCTGTGGGAGAAGGCCCGGCGTGGGGCCGGCCGCGGTGGGGGGGCACCTGCCTGGCAGCCGGCATCGGCGCCCCCGGCCCCCCATACCAACCCCTCCAACCCTTTTTACGAGGCGCTGTCCACGCCCAGTGTGCTGCCGGTCATCAGCGCCCGAAGCCCCTCCGTCAGCAGCGAGTACTACATCCGCCTCGAGGAGCACGGCTCCCCGCCCGAGCCCCTCTTCCCCAACGACTGGGACCCCCTGGACCCAGGCGTGCCCGCTGCTCAAGCCCCCCAGGCCCCCTCCGAGGTCCCCCAGCTGGTGTCCGAGACCTGGGCCTCCCCCCTCTTCCCTGCGCCCCGGCCCTTCCCGGCCCAGTCCTCTGCATCTGGCAGCTTCCTGCTGAGTGGCTGGGACCCCGAGGGCCGGGGCGCTGGGGAGACCTTGGCAGGAGACCCCGCCGAGGTTCTGGGGGAGCGGGGGACCGCCCCGTGGGCCGAAGAGGAGGAGGAGGAGGGCAGCTCCCCAGGGGAGGACAGCAGCAGCCTAGGGGTTGGCCCCAGCCGCCGGGGCCCCCTGCCCTGTCCCCTGTGCAGCCGCGAGGGGGCCTGCTCCTGCCTGCCACTGGAGCGGGGAGATGCTGTGGCCGGCTGGGGGGGCCACCCTGCCCTTGGGTGTCCTCACCCCCCAGAGGACGACTCCTCTCTGCGTGCAGAGCGGGGCTCCCTGGCCGACCTGCCCCTGGCGCCCCCCGCGTCAGCCCCCGCAGAGTTTTTGGACCCCCTCATGGGGGCCGCAGCACCCCAGTACCCCGGGCGGGGGCCACCTCCCGCTCCACCGCCCCCACCACCACCTCCCCGGGCGCCCTCGGAGCCGGCCGCGGCCCCCGACCCTCCGTCGGCCGAGGCCAGTCCAGGCTCAGGCCTGTCGTCTCCGGGCCCCAAGCCGGGAGACAGCGGCTACGAGACCGAGACCCCTTTTTCACCCGAGGGAGCCTTCCCAGGTGGGGAGGCAGCCGAGGAGGAAGGGGTCCCTCGGCCGCGGGCTCCCCCCGAGCCACCCGACCCAGGAGCGCCCCGGCCACCCCCAGACCCGGGTCCCCTCCCACTCCCAGGGGCCCGGGAGAAGCCAGCCTTCGTAGTTCAAGTGGACACCGAGCAGCTGCTGGTGTCCCTGCGGGAGGGCGTGACCAGGAGCCTCCTCGGAGACAGCCGGGAGACCGGACCCGGGAAGGCGGGGAGAGGCCCCGGGAACAGAGAGAAAGCCCTGGGCCTGAACAGGGACCTGCCAGTCCTGGGCGGCGGGAAGAAAGCCCCAAGCCTAAGCCTTCCCGTGAACGGGGTGACAGTGTTGGGGAGCGGGGCCCAGAGAGCCCCCGACATCGAGGAGAAGCCTGCAGAGAACGGGGGCCTGGGGTCCCCAGAGAGAGAAGTGAAAGCGCTGGCGAATGGGGAGCTGACACCACCAAGGAGGCAGAAGGAACTGGAGAATGGGGAGCTGAGGTCCCCAGAGGCCGGGGAGAAGGTGCTGGCGAATGGGGGGCCGATCCCCCCCGAGATCGAGGAGAAGGTCTCAGAGAATGGGCTCCTGAGGTTCCCCAGGAACACGGAGAGGCCGACAGAGACTGGGCCGTGGAGAGCCCCAGGGCCCCGGGAGAAGACGCCCGAGAGTGGGGGACCAGCCCCCGAGACCCCGCTGGAGAGAGCCCCTGCACCCAGCGAGGTGGCCTCGCCGCAGAACGGCTTGGAGACAGCCCCTGGCCCCCCTGGCCCAGCCCCCAAGAGCGGGATGCTGGACCCCGGGACGGAGAGGAGAGCCCACGAGACTGGGGGGGTGCCGAGAGCCCCCGGGGCTGGGAGGCTGGACCTCGGGAGTGGGGGCCGAGCCCCAGTGGGCGTGGCGATGGCCCCCGGCGGCGGCCCCGGAAGCGGCGTGGACGCAAAGGCCGGATGGGCAGACAGCACGAGGCCACAGCCACTGCCACCGCTGCCGCCTCCGGAAGCCCAGCCGAGGAGGCCGGAGCCGGTGCCCCCGAGAGTCAGGCCGGAGGTGGCCTCCGAGGGAGAGCCCGGGGTCCCAGACAGCAAGGCCGGCGGAGACACGGCACCCAGCGGAGACGGGGACCTCTCCAAGCCCGAGAGGAAGGGCCCCGAGATGCCACGACTGTTCTTGGACTTGGGACCCCCACAGGGGAACAGCGAACAGATCAAAGGTGAGGAGGCTTGGGGAGGTGGGGACTGGACCTTCTGGGGTGGCTGTGGCAGTGAGGATGCCGCGTCAGGCTGCCAAAACCGGGCACAAAACCTGGCTCTTTCCCTTCCCTATTCAGCATTGGGCAGACGTGTTTGCTGCTCGGTGACTCAGTTTCCCTGTCTGCCAAGAACAGGTGACAGTTCAAGATGGCTGTGAGGGTTGAGTTTGGGCCTGGGGCCTGAGTCTCGGCCAAGAGCTGCTGTTACTGATATGATCTAGATCAGGGGTCCTAGAGGCAGACACCGGACAGTACCAGGAAAGGGTGAAGTAGGCTGAGGAAGAGAGATGGAGAGTAGGGAGGAAGGGCCTTCTCTACAGGCGGCTGCCACGTCCCAGGAAGCCCACGCAGAGTTGCCAAGTCTGCTGCTTTTCCTTTTGATTTTTTTTTTTGTCTTTTTGAGACAGGGTCTTGCTGTGCAGTTCAGGCTGACCTTGAGCTCACTTTGTAGCCCAGGCTGGTCTCGAACTCACAAGGATCTTCCTGCCTCAGCCTCCCGAGTGTTGGGAGTGTTGGGATTACAGGCATGCACCACCATGCCCGACTTGCTTTTCCTCTTGAAACCAGAGCACTGGTTCTACCCAATTCCAAGGAAGCAGAGGTGTGTGTGAGGCAGGGTAGGCTGCTGGCTTGCAATCTCCGCTTTAAACTCTCCAGTGAACCAGGGTGTCTGCCCAACGTGCCATGCTGCCAGCAGCACGGTGTTGAGGGTTGGGGGGCTCAAGAACAGAGGTTGGGGGGCTTTGCTCTAGAGCGGTGGTCCAAGAGTAGATAAACGGAGAGGAAGGACGAACAGCCCTGTATGGGAGGAAGCCCGACTTCCTTAAACACCCGTGTGACAGTTACCAGTGCGGGTGACCTTCCAGCCATGCTGTGTCTCCACGGACCAGCGGGGCATATGGCTCGGGCAGCCAGGGCCAGGACACAGGCTGCGACAGGCCTCGGGGATTTACTGGGGAGTTTGTGATCAGCTCTGTGAAGACAGGGGGCAGCATGACCATGTTAGTTGATGAGAATCCATCAGGTTGGGGCTGCTGGGGAGAAAAAGCTGGGAATGGCTTTTTTCCACCCAGAGAATTCCTAGTCATTGCCCTCTCTAAGATCTCCCTTCCCTGGGAAGTCGGCCTGGCTTCTGAAGGCTGTCACTCTGTCCTTTCTCCTGGCCCTGTGGGGACCCTCTCTGAGACATACCTTGGATCGCATCATCTGAGGTGCTCAGTCAGGGAAGGTCTCAACAGGAAGGGGACTTCTGAGAGAAGTGAAGGAGAGGAGGTGTGAGCCAGGCGGGCACCTGGGGCAGTGGTGTTGCAGGGAGAGGGCACCGAGATGGACACTAGTTTGGCATGTTCAGGGCATAGCCATTCTTCTCTCTGCCCTCCTCTCATCCTATCTATTTGCCAGTGAGAACCAGGCTCAGAGGTGGACCTGCTTGTCCAGGGACACAGCAAGGGAAGACAGGTTTGGGTTGGAAGCTCGTTATCCTCCTCCAGGAACCTGAAATCTCCTTTGCTCCCTGCAGGCTGAGACTGGGGGGCTGGGGCAGAGTAGGGGTTTGGAGATGGTTAGACGCCGCTGCTTTGGCCGGCAAGGGCCAGCGGGGGAAGTACGTGGCCAGGATCACACAGCAGGGAATGTCCCGCATTAACCCCACAGACCTGAGTACTTCTGCTGCTCAGGGAGGTAGCAGGGCCAGAGCCTTGTGCCTGCCCTGCTGGGAGATCTCCGAGGGCTGGAAAGGCCCAGAGCCTGAGGACCAGCAGGACTTGAACCAGAAAAGGGAACAGCACTGCAGAGGCTCAGAGGATATGACTGCATGAAGCCGGAATGGGGTGGGGAGGGAGACAGCGGTCAGCCAGATGGGGTGGCCAGTCTGCTGGGCTGCGGGAGAAGCCGGGCTTTAGGCCCTGGGTCCTGCGGCACCATAGGGGAAAGAGCACTGGAGTGGGACGCGGGAGGGCCTGCCTCAGTTTCCCCGAAGGCTCACGCTCTCTCCCCTGCAGCCAAGCTCTCGCGCCTGTCGCTGGCGCTGCCGCCGCTCACGCTCTCACCGTTCCCGGGCCCGGGCCCGCGGCGGCCCCCATGGGAGGGCGC